ATATATATATATATACTCACAATATCTGAAAAAATGGGACCCCTCAGGTTGAGAACCTCTGATCTAAACTACCAGCCTGGCTCATGACCAGATGAATAAGAAAATGTCTTACACCCTCTAATTAATGTCTTGTTAGCGTTTTGTGCTCAACAAAGTGTAAAATGTGTGAAAGTGTGTTTTACAGAGGTTTAAAGTGCTGGGCTGTTAATAGTTCACTTACCTCTTTGGGGACTTTTCTTACCCTAATGTTGCCAGGCAACCTAAGTAGTATCTTGTGAAGGGATTAAATAATTAAAATATGTTATAATAAACTCTTGAATAAGTTAGCCTGAACTCGATACCTGGGTGAGCGTTTTGCCCGGTGATGAGTACAAACCTTCGTCTCCTCCGTCCTGTTCAGCGAGGAGTCGTTGCAGCGTTGGAAGGCAGTCGGTCTGCTGCTCCTCATCCCTCCCCGCTCCCTCAGCGTGCAAAACGCCACGGAGCTGCAGTGCAGATGGAGGAGCAGGCTGTTCCTGTTTAGTCCCAACCTGATGATTCAGACTTGTCTGAGTCCCCGAGGACCGTCAGGTTCAGTCACCATGGCGATGCCTAATATTTTTCTCACCAGCCCTGCTCATCTTCTGCCTTTTTATCCCCCCGCCTTAAATCTAGGACAACAGATGTGATATAATTCTCCTTGTTTGTTTTAAACTTGTAAAACAGATTTGATGTTTAACTGCATGATGAGCTACATCTTCAACTGTAATGTTAACGTTTTTTTTGGTCGTTTGTTTGTGTCTTTTGTAATCCACGATACTTACACTTTCTTTACTCATGCAGCCGGAAGAATCCCAGGTAAACATTTCAACTTTGGCCTTTTTGACTTTTCAAAGTGTGTTTTCCTTGTCAGCCTTTCTGTCAGTTGTATCCAGTTGTTTTTCCTAACTGCACTTGCACTCCTTTTGTCCCCTTAGCTGTCGAGATTTAAATAAAAGTAAAAAGGTTTTATATTTACATCAACACCTGGAATGTCCCAGAAAGAAACAATTTGTTGTCTGTTATGTCGTGACTGAGGGTCATAAAATTGAAAATTACACTGATCTCACATTAAAACCCCTGGCATCTCTTCCTAGTGTAGTTCATGTATATTATATTTGTTTTATTAGACCTGGTTTACCTCCATTAAATGCAGCATGTTTTATAACATTTGCATCATGAATGCTTGAATTTATTCAGTCATTGATTATGAATTAAAGTGCTACATGAAAAGGCTGGAAGCTTGCAGGTCAGCTTAATTACCTTTGTTTGT